TCATCGCCCTGATGACGGAGGCAGTATGACCTCTGAAACGTTGGTTAACATCGACCAGACTACACAGCGCAATAACCCAGAAGACAGAAATCTTCATATTCACCGCTGTGAGAACCTCAAGTCTTACTTAGTTAACATTGTTTGTTGTTGTTACCGACCAATCAGTTTTAGCTTTACTATACCTGACTAATGTACAGGGGGGGTTTTCATTTCATCTCATATTGAAATCCAAGCTGTCGTGAATGATCTTGATTTTGGTTCTTCTCAATTTTTCCAGAAAAAATATTTAATAAACAACCCACAAATCCCTCCCTATACACCCGTACGTCATCATAAACAGTTAACGTTTTTTTTTAAATACTGTTCGACTTAAGCAGTTGAAACAGCGTTATTCAGCAAGCTGGAAATCAACCAATCAAATCATCACTATTGCTATTTCTACATAATGCAGATCCTGTTCTCAGCCAACTTTATTCCATTCTTCGCTTGGTCCCTACTGTCCCCCGCCCTCTTAGATTCCTCATCAAATGCCACCCCCTTTGAGGTTTCCAGTCCAGTGCATTGTTTCTACAACTCCCATACAGATCTGCTCAATCCAATTCTATTTCCTTCATTTAATTCACACTATAATCTCTTCCTGTCTTGTCTTGCTCCAGAACTTTTGGCAGGAGATCTCACAAGTCATTTAAAATTCTCCTGGAGCAACGTTTTACAAATGTTTTTAATTTCTGGCCAACGACTCGGTTTGTCTTCAGATTACGGTAAGAATTTTCCTTAAATAAGATCTACACAGAAGTATTTCCGTGGTTAAGAATTTTAATATATATATATATATATATAATTATTATGTCAAGCCACACAGTACTTTCTTTGGTTTGACCAGAATAAGGACCTTCAACACGTTTCGGTTGCTTGTCAGTTCTCAAACTGACTGTGGGCCGTTGAAGGTATTTCAGGATACAGTGAGCCATTAATTATGCATTCTGAAGCATTATTCTGTGTTTCTGACTTAAGAATTTCAGGAAATAGGTCGTGTGTAGTAACCCCAATATGATGCAAATCCTTGCGTCTCGAGGGCTACAAATCGATAACTCTCCGATAAGCTCTCTCACTCTCGAATCAGCGGGCGATTCGAGAGTGTGTTTACTTTCTGCACACGTACTTTAATCCTGATTCGATCAGTGCACTTCGCTCCTGCAACTCGACGCATTCCGTGTCTTTTAGTTTAAGTCAGTACACTTCGCCTCAAATTATTAGGCAGATTAAATCGATGCCGATCAAACGGCCCGGTGAAGTTCTTGGCATGGCAAAAAACGGACAATGCATACAGAATTTTTGTTACGAAACCTCAAAGTAAATGACCATAAAGGAGACGAAAGCAAAGATACGAAAATAAAATATACGTTCATGTAACAGTTTGTGAAGACTAGAAAGGATTAAGTTGGTGAGATTTCAGATTCTCGCGGCGAGTATGAAGAACATTTTCAGGGATATTGCACCTTATAGTTATGTAGAAGTTTCCCGACGTTTCAGAGGTGCTTGTTTCCTCCATCATCAGGGCGTGAGTTGACGGTAGATAGGGTTGTTTTTCCAACAAATTAAACTCAAAGCAAATACGGTATAAAGAAATCTGTTGTATGCTTTATGAAAGACGCAGGATTTCCGTCATTCCATAAATGAATACAGATTTTATAATTTACAAATCACACGTTTAGAGCCATCAGATAGAGAAACAGAGCAAAAACTCCAGTTCTTGTT